GACAGCACCTTGTAACTATTATTATGCTGCAGACAGCACGTTATAACTATTATTATGCTGCAGACAGCACGTTATAACTATTATTATGCTGCAGACAGCACGTTATAACTATTATTATGCTGCAGACAGCATATTTCGGGCAGACAAGGCCACGTTTCTGCAGCCGATGGCTGTTGCTATAGGGCTGTGTCTTATGACTGTCATGCCAGTGATCCAGGTAGATCCATGATCCATCGTCCATGTATTGATCTTACTTATCGATGATTACTTATGATTGACTCATTGATTCCCCGTCTGGTCTTTGACAAACATGCGCTAATCACATGCACTGCGCCACTCTCCATCTACCACCCCTGCTCTGTGCAATCTCGCCTACAACACAATGCAGCAGTCTGCAACAGTTTGCAACAGTCAGCAGCAGTTTGCAACATTCTGCAACAGTTTGAAGCAGTCAGCAACAGTCGGGGACAATCTTTAAAGTGATTACGTCACCGTAAATAGTAAAAAGTTTTCACTTTTTCACAAAATATAAGTAATTCTATTCACTTTTTATGGTTAAATTGCTGCATTATACTTCCTATTTTACTATATTGTTTGATGTGAACATACACTCGTGACTCATACATAGCCCATAGCAAGCAATTAATGTCAGGAACATTGTTTCAAATCGTCCAGGTTTTTTGGATTTTTAACTAGTTGAGAAACAATCTTATCAGGTAAGAATTTGACGATACGTTTAGTCCCGTTAGTTCTTACTTTTAATGTAAAAAAAATGGCAACAAAAATTTTACAAATTTGACCACAGAAAATTCGTGACGTAGTCAATTTAACATTTGGCAGCATTTCCGTTGCTTAATATATTGGCCGAATTTGATGTTAGATACGGCGCACTGCGGCTGCGCCCACGCCGTATACCTCCTCTTAATAATAAATGAGCTGCTATAATGGATTGCAAGCTTGTTTATGCGAGTCCCGATCCGTGGACAATGGCAAATCTGCAGGGGTTGGTGGGGGGAGAGAGAGAGAGGAAGTGATGGCCCCCGATATTCCCCTCCTGGAAAAGCTTTAATATCGTAGGATGATTGAACCATCGATTAAATATTTAATGGCGATTATGACATTTCGTGGAGATGCAGATAATTGAATCGATGTTATTATTAGTATCTTCTATCATCTTCTTCCTCTTAGCTGTTTCCTCGAGAAGCACCGTAATCTACTCTTCGCATCTCTACCCTGCTCCTCCCCTACCCACCTGTCCCTCCCGCTAATGCTGGAACCCGTAGCATTTTACCTCGTGACAGCGCGTTCTATCCGAAAACTGCCTGGAAAAAATGCTCGCGCACGCAGATTTGCGAGGGGCGAATCGTTCGCATAAGCTTGCTTGCTCGTTCGCTCGCTCAATTATTCATAATGATGTGCATATCACGAAACCGTTTCTCCCTCTTCCTCCCTTACCTTCCCCCCTTCCCCACACGTGTGTGCGTGCGTGTGTGCGTGCGTGCGTGGTAAGAGATATCCGTGGCCATTGTCAGGGTGATTGCCCCCCCATGCCTTTTACCTAACATTAATTGGTAATGAGATGCAATTAATTTTAATTTTGCCACTGTGTGTTATTAAGCGTGCACGTTGGCCATGATTTCCTGGTGGTACATCTTTGCACAACAGAAGACAAATCCATAAACAATAACGGTTGAACAATGAAAATCATTAATTTTTCACAAATTAATTTTGATAGAAGCACAACTGAAGTTGTGTCTGGGGTGAGTTACAAGCCAATGAATAAAAAATACAATAATGACAAATTTTCTTTAAAAAAACTATATGAGGACGTGATATTTTTCCATATTGATAATTACCAATAATATTAATTAATTCGAATAAAAATGAGCGTGAAACGTTGTGTGAGGTTCTACCACACTAATAATTAACAGTAATATTAATTACCAAAGGTGAAATGACGTGCGATGTTCCTGCACTGACGGTCAACAATGGCATTAATGAATTGCAATAAAACCATTAGTGTAACGATGCGTGGCGTTTAATTACTCCCACCACCGTACCCATCTCTTAAGCGTGGCTTCGCTCGTTACAGGTATTCTCGGGATGCGGGCAGCCGCGGATGCAGCGCACGAAGCGTGCCCCGGCGACGCCGGCAGAGGGCGCCAGCAGTCAGGAACTCGAGTACGAGCCGCTCAAGTTCAAGAACGTCGAGAGCACAAACGATCGCTCCAACTCCGGTAGGTGGCGCCACCAGATAGACTGGCGACTTGTCGGATAGTAATACTGTGAGAGTGACGGTGACTCTGAGTGGTATTCTTACTAGTCGCCCCTTCATTGATAGCTGCTGCTACGACATACTTGTAATGTATGGATGTGAGTGTGCGTGTGAGTTGTAATCTGCACGGATGAGATTTAAAGGCATACTAGGCCCATTGATTATGCAATGTTGATGAATGCTAGAGTAACTGGCACCTTGTGTAGTTAATAAGTACATAACCTTACATCCAAACGCGTATTAGTTTGTCTAAACGTTCATAGAGAAAGTGTGAGAGAGTATGTGCGAGAGAGAGAGAGAGCGAGAGAGAGAGAGAGAGAGAGAATGCAAATGTTCATAGAGAAGACGTGGTAGAGTGTGCGCGAGAGAGAGAAAAACCTGGAAGGTCCTGGGAGTTTTAAATGCCATTCTGCGAGTCTGGAAAGGCCTAGAAAATAGGCTAACATCGTTTCAGGTTTTGCTTATAGAAAGTGCTTGAAAATTGAACTCGATTCTATCATCGCGCCCAAAACGCAATGAAATTTGCTCCGTGCGAGAATTTGTTCTGATTGGACAACACGCGACACAAAGATTGTGTTTTGCTAAAATCTTGCGGCCGTGGAAATTGGACCCTTTTAAGTCCTGGAAGGCTACCGAAAGATTCGTGCGACATGTTTTGCCTTGGGTGTGCGAACCATGGGGAGCGAATGCAATAAAGGCCAGTGTGTGCCTATTTGCGAGAGTCCCTTCATAGAAGCTGTCTCATGGTCGGGCATGTCAGATTAGATCGAGTCGCAATACAGTTGAGTTGCTGTCGCTTCGATGAGCGGTGAAGCTGCGGGAATGAACAGATGCTGAGGAAGATGAAGATGCTTAGGAAGATGAAGATGCTGAGGAAGATGAAGATGCAGCAAATTTCATGCACGGCTATCAATTATTATGCTTCAGACAGCACCTTATAACTATTATTATGCTGCAGACAGCACCTTTAATAATAACAATATAATAATATAATAAATTGAGCATTAATAAATAACAACAACAATAATCTCCAACTTGCCTCGATGCCCTAATATTTCCGACTAAACCCAAGCTAACACTCGGCTTGTTCCTATTAATTAAAGGAATAATAGGCCCATTGATTATGCAATGTTGACACATGCTAGAGTAACTGGCACCTTGTGTAGTTAATAAGTACATAAC